CTGAATCTCCAGGGCCAGGGAGTGGGGGCAGACTGTTTACGCAGCCCTCTCGTCCTGAGATGTCCTGAGAAATCTTTCTGGAAGCTCTCACTGCTGGCCAGACCAGGCTCCCCGCTGCGTCCAGTACCTCTCCTGTCACTCAAATGCCCAGGACAGGCTGAGCCCGAGAGAGTTCGCATGCCATGGCCTCTGGCCTTGGAGTGCACTCACTGTGACAGGGCAGGTGGTTGACAGAGCTCCTGTGGTGGGTGCTGCCAAAATGCCACGAGCAAAGACAGCAGAATTCAGCCGAGCTGCCAGCCCTGCTCAGTGCTAGGGAGAGCAAGTAGGTGGGTTTGTTTAAAATACTCCTATTACAGTTAGTTAACCTTTCTGTTCCCTAAATGAAAATTGTATAAACCTGAAATTTCCGTTGATCGGGTTGCCTAGGAACAGGCAGCAGGTTTTCATAAGACAAAGCAATAGATTGCCACCGATAGGCCTGTTAGGAAGTGAGCTGGTTAGCGGCATTATTCCGGTCCTGGTGTCAGCATTAGGTAATTATCTGCCTGCCTGCTCAGGGCACGCCCATCTTCCCGTGCTGAGGCAGCTTCCTGAAGGAGCCTTCTCAGCCTCCAGCTCTCAGGATGGGGCCGCAAAGGCAAGGGCTAGGGCTAATCACCATGCTTGAGCTATGAGGAGAAAACTAAAAGACCTGATGTGGTCATGTTTATTTCTTCTTAATCATCTTCTCTACTTATGTGCAAGAGGAACCCCCAATAATCCTATTGATGACAAGCTGTTGCATCCTTTTATGAAAACATGTAGCAAGAGCGGGAGACTTAAAATAAACAGCAACAAAATACACAGTAATTTTTTAAGCTACTCTATGACAACTTTGGTAGATCTTTTAAATATTTTTTAATACAATATACACACTTGTTCTCTTTCTTTTTCCACAAGGTCACTGTCATTTATGTTTATCTTCCTGCAGTTAGAGTAACTAGTTTTCTGGTTTGCCTAGGACCTAGGAGGTCCCCCATAATGGTACCTCATGACCAGTGCTTGTCAGTAACCCATAGCTCTTGTTGGCACTGGACCACACCTGGCTTCATCAGTCCCCGCCCCCCTCTTAGTTTTGTTCTGTCTTTGTGTATTTTTTGTTTTGCTTTGTCTTTTACTTTTTAAAGACATATTTGATGTATATGAATGGTTTTTTTTCCCCTTTGTGTATGTCTACATGACACATGCATGCCTGGTGCTTGTAGAAGTCAGTTCCAGGACTCCCCTGTGACAGATGGTTGTGAGGGACAGTTGTGAGCCACCACGAGAATGCTGGGAATCAGACCCACGTCCTCTTCAAGAACAAGTGTTCCTACTGCTGAGCCATCTTTCCAGCCCCAACCCCATTACTTTTTAAAAATTATATTTCACTGTGTGTGAGAGAGAGAGAGACAGAGAGCATTGCCACACATGGAGAGATCTTAGAGGACAGAAGTTCTTTTCTCTTCTACCTTTTGAGTCCCAGGGACGGCACTCAGGTCATCAGGCCTGATGTCAAGAAGAGCCTTTACCCCCTGAGCCGTCATCTCACTGGCCCCAATCCCACTGGTGGATTATTCTTGTTACTGTTATGGCTGGCAAATAGTCTCCTTCAGAGGCCCTCTCAGGACAGATTCCAACGTGTAGGACTATTAGCTCTAAAGACGGATGTGCTCGTAGCAGGTTTTTACGTGTTACCAGTCGCCCTGCAGGAAAATCAAAGTGCTTTGAATGTGAAATGTGCCCTACAGCTCGTGTATTTGAACATTTGGTCCCCAGCTGGTGGTGCTGTTGGGGAACCTTAGAGGATTGAACTTCTCTGGAGGAAGTTGGTCACTGGAGATGAAGCCTTGAGCTGTTTTCGCTTTGTTAATTCTTTTTTTTTTTTTTTTTTGAGACAGTGTTTCTTCATGTAGCCTTGGCTGCCCCGGACTCGCTGGCCTCAAACTCACAGAGACCAGCCTGCCTCTGCCTCTGCCTACCCGAGTGCTGGGATCACAGGTGTGTGCTACCACGCCCAGCTCACGTTTTGTTTTGTTTTTAATGAGACAGAATCTCAGTATATAGCCCTGGCTATATTCTGGAATTCACAATGTAGATCAGACAGGCCTAAAGTGCTGGGATTAAAGGTGTGTACCACCTCGCTTAGTTTCCAATCCATACTCTTAACCACTGAGCCATCTTTGCAGCCCCAGGCCTTGGTGTTTGTATAGTCCAGCCCCTCTTTTTTTTTTTTTTTTTTTTTTTTTGTGTTTTTTTTTTCCTTTCTCCAGAGGCTATATGGCTCACAATTACAGCCCTGCCCACCCTCCCCCCACAAAAAGATACGGTGAACCAGAATAAACTGTCTTTCTCTTAAATTGTTTACTATTGGGTATTTGCTCACAACGGTGGGAAAAGCAATGCACCTTCCTCCCTTCCCATACCCTCAGTATCCATACTTCATACAGCGCTGTCCTCCGTGCCCATCCAGTAGACGAAAATACATCCTGTGTGTGCGCACACTGCATGTGTGGTGATCGGAGGACCACTGTGGCCGGCCGGCCTTGTCCCCCTGCCTGTGGGAGACAGAGTCTGCTCTCTTCCCATGCTTACACCAGTGTTGCTGGCCCAGACCCTTCCAGGGATCCTCCATGGCCCGCTAGGACTGCTGGGATCACAGATGGTCAAGCACGGATGCAGCTCTTCCGTGGGCTCTGGGCGTTTGCACTCACGTCTTCACAAACTGACCCGTCTCCCCAGTTCTACTTTACTTCCTGCTTCAGTATTAACTGCGTATGAGTTGCCTGTCTGTGTCTTTTATCTATTTTTCTCTCACCATGCTCATTTTTTCTTTAAAAAAAAAAAAATCTTTAGAGTAAGCCTATCCGTCATGCACACTGAGTGATTTTTTTTTTTTTTTGTCCATTTTTAAAGATATTTATGGTTACCATTCTTTGAAAAGCAAGAATAATACCTGTTAAATGGTGTCGAAGCTACTGTTTTAGGTCAGGTTTTCCTCCTAGAATCACTAAATTCTTTACTTATTTGTTTGTTTTTGAAGCAACTTGCTTCAGTATCCCAAATACTTAGATTACACCACCACCCCTGGCTTTATAATTACTATGGTATTTTTTAAAAGGTTTTTATTTTATGTGTATGCGTGCTCTGTCTGCATGTGCACCTACAGGCCAGAAGAGGGCATCACATCCCAGTAGAGATGGCTGTGAGCCACCATGTGGTTGTTGGGAATTGAACTCAGGACTTCTGGAAGAGCAGACAGTGCTCTTAACCGCTGAGCCATCTCTCCAGCTCCTACTATGGTATTTTTAATTGGAGAATCTTAATTGCAGTATCCAGGATGATCGTATCTCTAAAACGGGTCATCTGGGTAAGTCCTCCTTTTAAGCAGTGTATCCCCCCGCCCCCAGTCTAGCTCACTCTGGCTGCCTCAGACACACCATAAGCAACCACAGTCTCCTGTGATTCAGCCATACCCTTGGCAGCTGCTGAGCCGAGCGAAGCTTTTGCTCCCATACCATATGTCCCCAGACTGCTTTTAAATAAGATACCCGATTCTTCTTCCTCTTCCTCGGTCACCGTCAGGCTCCCATGCTGTTACTGTTGGCTGCTCTGAGTGCCCTGCTTTGCCCTGCAACAGCCTATCTTTATCAGCCATGGGCTTGATTTACAGCCAACGATGCTTGTTAAATTCGCCTGTAAACTAATAGCAACTGATGCTGAGCAAGCTCAGGCAGTCCCGTCAAACCATGCTGCAGCTTCTGCAGGCCTCAGAGTTTCAGTTTTTTTTGTGTGTGTGTGTGCGGGGGGGAGTTAAATTTTATAATTTATTTCTATTTTATATGCATTGATGTTTTGCCTGCATGTCTGTATGAGGGTGTCAGATCTTGCAGTTACAGGCAGTTGTGAGCTGCCACATGGGTGCTGGGAATTGAACCCAGGTCCTCTTGGAAGAGCAGTCAGTGCTCTTAGCCGCTGAGCCATCTCTCTAGCCATCCGAGTTTCAGTTTTTTACCTCATGTCTGTTGACGTTGGAGTGCATGTGCCGTGGCATACGTGGAGGTCAGAGAACGGACTCCTTGGAGTCAGTTTGAGTCCCAGAGAATGAACTTAGGCCATCAGGGTTGATGGAAGGCCACCTTACCCACTGAGCCATCTCCCTGGCCCTAAGGTTTCTGTTCTGTCTAGGTAAGCGCATTCAGTAAGTGATCTCTGAATAGGACTGGGAGGTTTCTGAAGCAAAAGAACAAATGGAAAGGTTAGCAACCACTAAAAGGCACAAGCACTAAATGCAGACCCGGTAATCCATATAATCCATAGGAATAGAGACCATGCTAAGTCTCAGGACTCCCTTGGGAAGTGTGGCGGTGTGGCTTCCAAGGGGATGGCGCCATTGCTGAGTTGATAACTGTAACTTCTGGCTTCAGGGCCTTTGCCCCGATGGGGATGGAATGTGCCGTGTTGCTTCTGCACCCCTGGTGTTCAGCGTTGGTCTGGGAGGTGGAGCCTGGACTGAGTACCGTCTCTGTTTTGTAAGAGAGGGTCTCTGATGGCCTGATGTGAGGGGTCCCTGGCCTGCAGGACCATCAAGGAATGGTCTAGAAGGCCAAACAGCCATGAAAGATGGCTATAATTGTGGCTGCTGTTATCCCCAGGCCCATCCATCAGCCGTCGCCGCCTCCTTAGCCATCACGCTTTCTGCACAGGGTTGCGGCCCCCCTTGTGTATATCTTTTGCTTACGTCCTCGCCGCCCTTCCGGAACCTAATTTCATCCTTGTAGGTTTTTCCAGAGCAGGATTTGCACAAGTGTTGTGGTTTCTTAAATATTTATTTTGCAGGCCATTTACTCAGCACAGCTATTTTTACAGTGAGTAAGGAGCGAAGCTAAAAATAACAGCTCGTAACCCGACCGGTTCTGCGTCTGACATTTACGTGGAATTCATTTGCATCTCATTTGTTCTCCTTTTCTGTTTAACAGGTAGAATGTAAGAAAGCTCAGCCGAAAGAAGTCATGTTCCCGCCTGGGACAAGAGGCCGGGCCCGGGGGCTGCCGTACACCATGGATGCTTTCATGCTTGGCATGGGCATGCTGGGTGAGTCTGCACAGGGTTTGGGGGAGCACCGTGGACTGGGGGTGAGGACTGCGGCAGCCCAGGCACTCAACTGAGTCACCTAACAGTTGGGCAAACAGAACCCCACTTTCCTTATTGAGCTCTGGTTGTTTTTGTTTTTGTTGTTTTGGTCCAACCTGCCATTCCCTCATCTTCTAGTTGGTGTGTAGGTTCCTCTTTGAGTGGTCATGGCAACCACACGAGCATGTAGTATCCTCTTACTTCATGCCTAGCTCATGGTATGCTTGAGACTCAACCCTTCCTCAAACACAAACCAGGACCGCCCACCCGTCTCTGTCTCAACCTTGTTGGCCCAGTGAGAGTTCCCAAGACCTAAGGGTTCCTGTTGGCTTAACGTGTGTGGACTCAGGCTACATTTCTTTCTAAAACTTAGGAGAGGAACTGAAGGGTGGCAAGGGTGAGCACTAATCCTGTCTATTTAAATGATTAACATTTTTCTCTTGGGATATCAAAATTTGCATTTAAATGGATGTTTTAAATAGCCTGTTTTACTCTTTATTTGCAAAAAAAAAAAAAAATGATGAAAGACAAAGTGTGTTTGTTCTGACTAAAAATGATCTCTCCTGGCTTTTAGAGAAATTGAGTTGCATATTATGCCCCTTTCCTTAAAGGTATCTCTGTCCGCCCTGCGTAGATAATTGAAAATCTTGCCGCTTAAATAGCATGAAAGATGGAGAAAGCAGAGGAGATACGTAATGGTGTGGGTCGCAACAATAATTAGAAATTTCAAGGCGAGAGAACGGTATTTGAGTGCAAGTTATTGTGTGTCAGGAAAATACTAATTAAATGGGATAAATGGTCGTTAATGGTAAAATTCCATTCAGGCACATGAGCTGTCTAGTTTTAATGGGTTTTCATTTGGCTTGGCTAAGAGTCCCTCTTCTATATTGTTTGATAAGCTCTTTATGTGTTTTCAGATTTGCTGCTGTTTAAATCATTCCTGGCTTAGTTTTAAATGTATTAAGCTTTTCATGCTCTTACAAAGAATTGCATCTACTTGTCTGAGAAATAACTTGGGCAGGTAGAGCTATATTGAAGAACTTTAAAGACAGAACATGGTGTCATTGAGAATATTTTTTTTAATGGCCAATCTATTCATTCGCCTCAGATTAATTTTTCAGGCTTAACAGAGTTTACAAGGAAAAAAAAAATCCTATTATAGCTCCTTAGAAACTGCCTGTGTGGTTCTAATGCTTACCTGAAAATAGAAACGGGAGAAAAAAAGATTTTAAGAGAAATAAGAATACACCAGTTTGACTATATCTCAAAACACTGCATAAAGCTACTATAATTAAAACAATATGGTAGGGCTGGAGTTGTAGCTCAGTTGGTAGAGTGCTTGCTTAGCACACGTGAGGCCCAGGGTTCAATTCCCCAATACTGCACAAAACTGGGCATGGTGGTGCACACCTGTGAACTCAGCATTTAACACTCAGGAGGTGGAGGCAGGAGGATCAGAAGTCAGCTGCGTATTGAGCTCAGAGACCATGGTATGGTAGACAAGATTGTCCCCAGCTCACGTTGGCTTGACCCCACTAATTTTCTATTTAACAGTGGTGAGACATGCGTGTGTTCAGTAGACACTGCTTTGACTATTGAGTTTGGATCTTTGCCCAGGCTGGCAATGTCAGTGACACACTCCCTGGAGTTGCTGGGCAGGGCCTGCTCCTGAGTGGTAGGTAGCTTGTGAGAGAATGGCCACGTTCTCTGTCAGGAACAAGAGGCAAGTCTGCCGTGTGCTGTCTCTAAGCTGTGCAAGTGGCAAGACTGGGCACAGTAAATACATTTGCCGTGCCACACTCTGCCAAGCCGTGGTAAGCTTATCAGGCTGTAACTCCATCATCAGCTGTGTGGACACTTGATAGAGACAATTAGAGTCTCAGTAGAACTGAATACGTGTAAGAGGATATATATGTGTGTGCGTGGGAGCAAGTACTACAGGTGTGTGGAAGCCACAGTTTTTTCACTGATTCACTCATCAACTCAGCTAAGCTGGCAGGCCAGCGGGCCCCAGCAACCTTCCTCTCTGCTTCTGAGCGCTGGGCTCACACACGACACCTCGGGGTACCACTTATGTGGCCGCTAAGGAATCGAACTCAGGCCCTCACGCTTGTGCAGCACTCACTCTGGTTCTTAGGAGGAACCAGAAGGAAGACTTCATCCTCCCTGACTGCGTGTGTGTGTGTGTGTGTGTGTGTGTGTGTGTGTGTGTGTGTGTGTCCTGTACTGCAATTGTGTGGCCTTCGGTAGTCTACTCTCCGGGTAAGGTCGCCACCTCCATAGTGCATTGTTTGTGTGTCTTCCCAGGTTCCATGCTGTCACCATCCTAATAATTTGGCTGATGAAGGGGGTGTGTTGGGGAGGGTAGTTCACTGAAGAGCCAAGCGTGGTGGCACACACCTGTAATCCTAACACATAAGAGGTAGAAGCGGGAAATGGGCAGTTCAAGGTCATCCTTGGCTACTTGGCAAGTTTGAGGCAGGCAGCCTGGACTGTGTGAAAACCCTGTTTGACTAAAAATAAAAAGAGCGCTGATGATAGCCAGATTCAGTGCTATACAGATGGAATCCCAGCACTGAGGAGGCTGAGGCAAGGCCGCAGATCAGGACCAGTCTGAGCTACATCATGAGACCCTGCTGAAATAAATTAATTAGATGCTATGAGACCCTGTCGAATATTCATCAATGCAGGGGAGGTCTAGAAAGAGTATTTAAAAGCAAAAAGTATGAGCTGCTGAAACCTTAAAATTCACTCATCCAGTGAGGTATCCCAGAAGCAGAAGGACCCTCATGGTATATTCTCACTTATAAGTGGATGTTAGACATATACTATAGGATAATCATACTAAAATCTGTACACCTAAAGAGGCTAAGCAAGAAGGAGGACCCTGGGTAAGATGATCAATCCTCATTCAGAAAGGCAAATGGGATAGACATTGGAAGAGAGAAAAAACAGGGAACAGGACAGGAGCCTACCACAGAGGGCCTCTGAAAGACTCAACCCAGCAGGTTATTGAAGCAGATGCTGAGACTCATAGCCAAACTTTGGGTAGAATGAAGGGAATCTTATAAAGGAAGGAGGAGAGGATAGGAGCTCCATAAGGAGAGCAACAGAACCAAAAAATCTGGGCCCAGGAGTCTTTTCTGAAACTAATACTCCAACCAAGGACCATGCATGGATATAACCCAGAACCCCTGCACAGATGTAGCCCATTGTAGCTCAGTCTCCAGGTGGGTACCCTAGTAATGGGAACAGGGACTATCTCTGACATGAACTCAGTGGCTGGCACTTTGATCACCTCCCCCTGATGGGGGAGCAGCCTTACCAGGCCACAGAGGAAGACAATGCAGCCAGTCCTGATGAGACCTGATAGGCTAGAGTCAGATGGAAGGGGAAGAGGACATTCTCTATCAGTGGACTCGGGGAGGGGCATGGGAGGAGAAAAGGGAGGAAGGGTAGGATTGGGAGGGAACGAGGGAGGGGCTACAGCTGGGATACAAAGTGAATAAATTGCAATAAATAAAAAAATAAAAATAAATTTAAAAATTCACTCATCCAACATGTTTACCAGTTGCCTACTGTGTGCCATAAATCTAGGCATTTAGGGTACAGCAGAAAATCTTGCCGCCAATCCCAGGCAGGCAATGTTCTAATCAGGAGCTGAGATGGCCAGTGTGCTGGTCTCATGACTTGAGGCACCATGGAACTAATTTTTAAAATATCCTTCAGGAATTTCTCCATCCTTTAGGATGCCTCACGAGAGGGAGGCTGACAAGTGTACGGGACTATGGCATTCTTTCTTGATCTTGCTTGATATGGCTGCCAACATCCTTGTGTTTTGAATTTAGCTTTCACGGCCTTTAATGGAATGAGATAGAAGGTGGTGGGAATTTCCTTTAAAGAGTGTATGGGGCTGAAGAGGAGGGGAATTACTCCAAGGCCCCACCTCTTGCTTCTGAGCCAGACAGAACCAGAAGCAAACTGTACCATCGGAGAAGGTGTTTTCATAGCCCCTGGGTCCTGTCCACGTTCTATGGGAATGCCTGTAGTCATCCAGCTGGAAGCTGCAGAAACACCCTAGACTTTGCTAATGAAAGTGGACTTAGTGAAAGCAAACACGTGACTGTTGATGTATTTGATTCCTCTTGGCCTTCTCTGCCTTCAGCCTCATAATCCCACTGCCTTTAATGCTCTTGCCCTGGTTGGCCACATGCTATTTATTAAGCACGTGGTAGAGAGAGAATGCAGTGTTGGGGCCTTGCAGAAAAGCTTCCCTTAGAAAGCTGGAAAGAAGAGAAATGCTGCTGGCCAGCTAGCCACTAGATCCTTGCAAAACCCTGATCCAGTGCCCACCACCATCAGTGCCTTCTAGATTGAAGGCGATAGATTAGATAGATAGATAGATAGATAGATAGATAGATAGATAGATAGATAGATAGATAGATAGATGATAAATCTGTCATCGTTGGAAGGTCCTGGGAAGCTGTGATCTGCTCACAGTCACTCCAGATCAGGAGATGGCTAGAACACAGCTTTCCTTCCTTCAGTTGCCTGTATAGTCTCTGCTGGAGTCTGTTGTGAGGAGGACTCCCATTGTGCACCTGTTCCTTGGTAGCCAGAAGTAGCTTCGAGTCCAGCTGTTCCCTGCCCCTCTGGAACAATGGGTCCATAGGTCCTTCTGACATGAGACTGTCCTTTGTCTACTGGCCAGTGTGCTGACTGCCAGTTCCGCATGCACACCAGCCATCGAGCATTTGTGATGTGCCTCGTGCCCCTATGGAACCAAAGTTTTCTCTTCAGATAGTTTTAGTTAAGGTTAAATTAGCTCGGGTGTGGAGGCGCCCCTAACAACAGAGGAGAATTTTGGGCTGTGTGTCTCTGTAGACTGGCTTTCACATCCTTGCCTTTGAGTAGCTCTTGGCACTTGCTTGACCTCGTGGAACTATCATGGTAGCCCCGGGCAGTGCTGTGCATGTAGGAGACACTCACTGTGTCCTCTGGATAAATGGCTCTTCTCTCTTGTCTTGTTAAAGTCTAGGGTCTGGGATGAGCCTTTTTTTTTTTTTTTTTTTTTTTTTAAACACACTAGGGGGGTGAGTAAGAGCCTGGGTGAGCTGTGGCCCATCTAGGATGCAAACATCTCTCAGTTAGGAGCAAAGATCTAAAGCCACAGTTCTGAGAAGCCTGGGAGCAGTCCCCGGAAGGGGCCACAGAAAGAACTTTCCAGCACACCCGAGTTCTATTGTCCCTTTCCGACTTGTGCAGCCACGATGGAAAGCCTGTGTGTGAGGAAGGTGGTCATCCAGGCAGAAGGCTTGATTTTTTTTTTTTTCCTTTAGTGACAAGAGATAATTACTGTGGGATTGATCAGGCATCCAGAGTACTGGAGCAAATAAATTGTTCAGTGGCCAGTGTGGGAGGGGCCCAGCTGCTAATAGAAGCGGTGGCTGGGTCACCCGGCTGTAATGTGGCTTGATGGAGCGTTCGCATGGGTCTGCTGTAATGTGCTATTGATATGCAGCCAGCCAGTTTCCCCCGTGCGGCCTGGGCCCTGAGCCACTGGAGCAGAGCTGGGCTGCACAGCCGCAAATGAAGAGGAAAATTGAAGTAATGTTGTATTATAAATTTATAATTTCATCTGCCTGACTGAGAGGCTGTTCAGCATTGGGGGTATGGAGATGAGATCCCCCAGCGTGGCAGGTGTGGAATTCTCATCTTCATTCCTTGGGCAGCGATGATGTTGGTCCATCTGGAAGACTGGGGGTGAGCCCCAAAGTTGGTGTGAACTTGACTGAATGTCTCTTCTTTCATGTTGGAGACTTTAGGATCTCCATGGAGAGAAACACATGCAATGGGTTCATACGGATGGCTTGGGTACATGGAAGGACCGGCCGTTCCATTGTCCCTCAACCTACATCCAGAAAAAGTGATGCATGGGCTTACGCTCTTGCTGTCAAATTGAAATTTCAGATTTCAGGCCCTGCTCTGAAGTTAGCAGCAAAGGAGCTATTTTTCATCAGGAAAGCCCCTGGGAAGTAGTGATTTGACCATTTACCTATAATCCATTTATCAATATTGTTGAAATAGTGCTATAAGAAATCTAGCCCTGAAAAGATGTGATTTGATAGTGGGTGATTAATTCTGAGGAAAATTGAGCTACCCAGCCAAAGAAATAAATTCCAGAGAATAGCCCATTGCGCACGAGTTCAGTGGAGATCTCTGAGGTCTGGCCACTGTTCTTCCCTCTCCCTTTCCCCCACTAGGTACTCTGAGTTCAGAGGCCTCCTAGGCTTCTTCCTCTCTGAGACCAGTCGGTACAGAGTTGCTAAGTCACCCTGTCTTGCTTTGTGGCATTCTGCCAAGGCATCAGGATCCTGGAGGGAGGGTCTCATCAGGACAGAGCCATTAGCAGAGCCCAAATGAAGTCAAGATAGCACAGCTGGCCAGTGAGTGTGGGAAGGCTCCAAATGCAGCAAGAACCACAGCTGCTCACTGCTGACAGCTCAGGCACATCACTGCCTCGGGTGACCTGTAAAGGCCTTCTATTTGCGGTGAAGGCTCAACCTCTTAAGAGAAAGGAGGGAGCCCCTGTCTGAGGTCAGAGTTGTCTGACAGAATCCTGTAGGTCCTGCTCAGCTTTTGAGTCGACAGCTACTTCTCACTCCTGAATGCTAGGAAATCCAAAATGACGGCACCGGTAGAATGATTATGGTTGGGGAAAGCCTGTTTGTCATGACAGTGCTCCTTCCTCAAGTACTGAGAGAGCCAGTGATCTCTCTGGAACCTTCCTTGGAAGGGCATTGTCTTAGCTGGGGTTGTATTGCTGTGAAGAGGCACCATGACCACGGCAGCTCTTAGAAAGTAAGACATTTATTTGAGGCTGGCTTACACTTACCGAGGCTTAGTTCGTCATCATCATGGCAGAAAGCATGGCTGGGTCCGGACAGACATGGTGCTGGAGAAAGAGCTGAGAGCTCTTCACCCAGATCCTGAGGCAGCAACAAGAGCGAGTGGCACTGGGCCTGGCTTCAGATTCTGGAACCTCAAAGCCCACCCCCGGTGACACGCTTCTCCGGTAACGGCCATGCGTACTCCAACAAGGCCACACCACCCAAGAGTGCCACTGCCTGTGGTCTGTTTTCGTTCAGACCACAACAAACATTGATCCTGTTCATGAGAGCCGTGCTTTTGTGAGCCCATCGCTTTCCAAAGCTGATCACTACCCTGCCTCCAATACATTACGTCAGGCTGGTGGTTAGGATTTCAGTGTGAATTCCAGGAGACTTCACATATCAGGCCATAGTCATCCCTAAGGCCATGCTCTTGGGCCGGGACTAGATTCCAAGTCTCCTGCCTTCCAGACCCATGAGTGACCTGGGTCCAGTGGTAGGCAGAAGTCATACACCAACATCTCCAGCTACACAAGACCTCACTTTGGGCCTCTGAGACACAAATGTTGACTGGCATTGGGAAGAGCTCCAAAGCCCAAGTGATGGGGAGGAGAAGGTGAAGCGTAGTGAGCCAGCCCCTGCTCTTACCCCTGGTATCAGGGTCAAAGTGTGCTTGGTATGGCTCGTGAGACTCCATGGGGGCGGGGGAAATAACGAGCCCCCAAGAGCTTGTGCTTAGGGATCGTGTGTAAGGAAAGCAGAAATAGGTGGGGAGCTGTCCTAAGTCTCCCTGTGAAGCGGCCTCCCACCCGCTTTTTGGTGGCAACAGAAGAAATGCTCTGGCCTCTAGAGGCAGCAAAGGTTATTATAAGGAGCAGTGGTGCTCAGAGCTGATGGGAAGGCTGGGGACCGGAACCTGGAAAGCAGACAGGAACTTAGGGAGCTGAGCCATCCCCGCTCCCAGCCAAAGGGACAGCCCAGGAATGGCCTGGTCAGAGGGCCACTTGGCACCTCTGGATGCTGGATTACCCTGCCGGTGCCAGAGTAAACTCTGAGCCACCTGCCCAGCCTCTGCACACTGGCTCTAGATGCTGGTCCCTACAAAGGTTTGCGTTGGCCTGCCTCCCAGGCAGGGATAAAGTTCATTCGGATGCTGGCCGGCCTAACACCCACCAGACAGCCACCTCAGAGGCCAAAGCAGAGGGCTAGCCAGTACACTGTGGTGACATTTGTGGAGTGTGGTTGTGCTGAGCTAACCCACGCTGGGTGGAAGAGGGCAAAGTAGGTCTCTGGGGACAGGGACAGGAGGTAGCCGTGGAGCTGCTGTGACCAAGGACATTCCAGTTCAAGGATACAGATGCCTTCATCCAGGACTCCCCAGAGAGCTCTCTGCACCCCCTCAGTTCAGGATCACCCGAGGTCACCACCCAAGCACCCGACCTTCAGCTGAGGCTTGTGGTACACGTTTTCAAACAGTCCCTCCCGGTCTCTCAGAGACACACTTCTGGACAGTGTGTGTTCTGGGGCATGACCCCTGCCTCCCCCAGCTGAGGCTTGCTAAGCCGAAAGGCAGCCCTCTGTGTGGCTCCTAAACTGCCCATCCCAGAGGACCCCTGCCCTCTGTGGTGCTCTGGCCCCCGTCCACTGCCTTGGAAGAAGGCAGTAAAAGGACTGCAATCTCCTACTGTCAACATCTTTAAGGTAATGTACATTCGGGGTAAGCTTTCCAAATGTCAGAGCCAGAGGCAGGCACCGAGTTCCGTCGTCTGTGTGGCATTTACTCTTACAGGTTTGTGAAAGTAACCTGGGCTTTGGGCAGTCTGGCTGCCTAAATACGGGCTAATTATAAGCATGCTGATGATCACACCCCGAGGCACGTGAGAGAGGGGATCCAAGGCCTGGATTGAGACCCTCCCCAGAGACACGCCATTCTATGAGACTAACAGCAGCTGATGGTCGTTGCCACCTTCCCTGAAATATCACCCCAGATCTAAGGCCATTGTCTAACAGCTCTTTTTTCTTTTCTCTTTGTGTTCAAGGCTACCCCAACTTTGTGGCAACCTATGGCCGAGGCTACCCCGGATTTGCTCCTAGCTATGGCTACCAGTTCCCAGGTGAGTGGCTTAGACCCTGGGGTTTTTGGAACTTTGGGAGGCAGGCTGCATCTGGAGAGGAGTAGACAGATGCTCCAAAAGAGAACACGACTTGCATCGCTGTGTGTTCTAAGTCCCCTTTGGTCCAGAGTAAGGGTATAGTTGGGGCTTTCCAATGGACTAGAGTGTTTCCTTGATGCTGGTGGCTAAAAGGGAGGAGAGAGGAGGTGGGAAGCCCCTTCTCCTTACCTTTTCTCCCAAGCCTGCTCTGAGGCTTCTCCTGGGGGACTGAACTCTGGGCCCAGGGCTTGTTGTCATATCTGCCATCCCTGCTGCCTGCTGCCCTTTACATCTACCTGTCTAATGCCTCCCACCCTGCCTTCCCTCCTTCCTGTCCGCTAACCCGGACTGACTGCCCTGACATCTGCACTGTGAATGAGCTGTGCAGGTTCTCGTTCTGTTGCGCACAGTGCTGCCCGAACATGCCCGGGCGCTTCAGCTCTGAGGGAGCTCTGGGCGTGGCCTGGGGAAGATGGAAAGGGTGCTTTACGGTTAAGCAATGCAGCTGAGGATCTATTAGGGTGCCAGGCGCATTAGAGGCCAGATGTGGCCAGAGCTGATGGAAGAGGGCCTATGCTCCATGGTTCTCTCTGTGGGGGGGGAGGGGGCAGGGGCCCACCCTCAGCTGCTGGACTTAGGGTTACTCCTGGTGGTTATCACATCTCCACCCAGAGGCCTGGGAGAAATGATGAGCAGAAGGCACAGAACGCTGGCCTGAGGGAAGGCTCTCTGAGCCTGAGGAGTCTCTACCCTGACGAAGGTGGGGGAAAGGTCTAGCACTGGCCTCAACTCAGGCTGTGAGCGAGTGACAGAAGCCATGGAGAGCCAACATTGGAAACCTAGACATAGACACTTACCTTGCCTCTGCTACCAGCTGGACACGCGGCTATGGCAGATCACTCGCTTCTGGACCTCACTTCTCTCGTTTCGGAATGGATTGTTATGTGGGACCTTCGAAAGAGCAGCGCCACTCTGTGACAGTGGGGTCAGAGGCAGAAGGGAGCTAGACAGAGCTACAGAAATTCAAGGTAGAAAGACGGGTGGGTGAAGTCGCTTCCTGGAGACCTAAACAGGTTCCCCGTCTGGGAGGTGCTGTCAGCATGGACCCTTGGTGAGCCCTCCCCATGGCGTCTCTGCAGCCTGTAATGATCTGGACCCCTGGCCCTGAAGTATTCAGGCTAGAACTATTCCTCCGTTATTCCCATCATAGGTAGAGACCTCAAGGCACAGAGGAAAAGCGTTACAGTGAGCCAAGGGCAGCAATTAGTCTGGGCAGCCCAAGTCCTAACTTGTAATACTTTGCTATTAGCCAGCCTCCGCTTGTCAACTAGGTAACACCGGCCACTAAAGCTTTAGATCTGTAGTGATTAAAATTCAGGAGAACAGAAAAAGTGAGTTCTGCGTTCATGCTGGCCGCATTCCAGTGGCCCAGCCGCCACATGAGGCCAGTGCTGGTCCCAGAGTGGAATACAGGGTGTTTCCGTCCTACTGTGGGTTCTGTTGCTCAGTGCTGTTTGGAAGATTAAAAGAAGAGCTGTGGCAGTGTAGAGGTGTGTGCACGCAGAATCGGAGGGACACAAAGTGAATAATCTGAGGACAGAGAAGTAGAGCTCATGCTAAGACCCGTGTCTCACCTGAGCCAGCTCAGGAAGCGTCTAGTCGTGTTCTGACTCCATGGCTCACATCCCTGGATCTACCCCAGACAGACAGACATGCCAGAGTGAGCAAGCTGAGGCAGGGCAAACTGAGGTGGTTCCCAGATGCAAGGCCTCTTGTGGGAAGTCAAGGCTTTGATAAGGAGTATGTATAGTGTCTGCGCCTGAGGACGCTGTTCGTCTTCATCATGGCACCGGCTCCTTAGCTGTGGTCAGTCACTGGGGTTAAGTGGGGGTGGGAACCAGCCTTGAAGACAGACAGGTGGCGTTCCCAGGCCCAAAGGGTGAGCAGTCCATTCACCTGTCGGTCTCAGTTTGTAGCCTCTTGGATTCTCTTATTCCTGTGGCCAGATAGGGACAGCTAGAGTGAGGCACCTGCCTGCAGCTCAGGAGGTATGAGCACCCAACCTTCATCCCAGCAGGAGCCAGGTGGAGGTCAGAGTTCACCCCACTCCTGACCCTGACCCTGTCCCCCCTGGGAGTTGCCCTTCATGGAGCATCAGCCCCTTCTGTTTGTCCCAACACCCTGCCAAGCCCCAGGCGGTTCTAGACACAAAGCCTAGGCTGGCTTCTGTACCTCCAGTCATGACTTCAGGGTGTGGTCAGTTTCTCCAGAATCAAACTTCACATCATCCTGGAGCTTAAGACTTGGTGGGCTTCTAGGGCAAGGAAGCTCTGACTTCAGTCTGTTGTCTCATGCCATAAGGAATGTCTGAGGTGGGTGTGGCTAAGGAGGCAGTGGGCCTGCAGAGTGGTGCTTCAAAGGGGGGAGGGGCAGCATAGTATGCTGCCTTCCCCTCACCTTCCCTGGGTGGTTTTGTGGACCAGTTTTCCCACGCCCTGGGACTTGATCCTGGCACAGCTCCCACCACCACCAAGTTGTCCTGACGGTTTTTCTTTGTGGTCTCGATAGTCTTATCCCATGCCCACTTTCCATTTCTATCCCCTCTGAGATTATTTGTGGGTCCCACGCCCCTCCTAGGCCTTCTGAGTCCATCATAGAGAAATAATGGGAGAAGGATGATAGCTTACCCCATCCAGACCTTTCATTCCCTCACAGGAATCTGGCTCCTCCTCAGCACAGAGGAACCTGATCCCTTCCGAGGTGTTCTGTGCACCTGTCTTTACCTTTGCATCCATCCCAAATGTTCAGGTTCAGGTCTCACCCTACCTGTGTGATGTGTAGTCCCCAACAGAGCTCCCTGGGCCACATAGCTGTGTTAAACAGGTTTAACCCCTGCAGCCCCCTGCAGGATTCTTTGAAGACAGACAAGGTGTTTTGAGAAGGGGGTGGGATGCCTTTGGGTCAGTATTGGGGTCGGGGCTCTTTTCTAAAAAAGCCTGGGGGATGGCCACTTAGCAAATGACTCCTGCTTCTCATGCTCAAGGGTCTTCCCTGGTCCTGTGTTCTTCTCAGTGTTGAGTCTGGAATTGTGGTCCTGTCATCAGAGGCCTGGCCATTTCCTTGCATCTTCCCCTGCTGGTCTTCTCCCTTCTATTTTCTGCGTTAACAGTTTCCAGTCTTTACTTTTCAAACCATTTGCTGATTTTGATTTATGGGATGTAATTGTTATCAACCAGCTCTTTTAGACCGGCATCACAAGTGGGGGCCTGCCGTCATTTCTGGAGAGTACACCTTCCTGCCAGAGCCGCTCAACTGCTGGCAGAGCCCACTGAAGTCTGTCCTTTCTGGCCGATTGAGTGAATGAACATGATTTTTCCGGGTTTCAAATTCTGGGAAAGATTCCTCCTTATTTTGTTTCAGAAAAACTTTATGCCCCTTTGCTTCCTGAACACACTGTGGCCAGTCCCATCCGGCCCGGCCCCACCTCCCAGCTCCTCAGAATTTAGGGGACTGCTCACAGACTTTGTAGGGACTCCTTGGAGGGATTCAGGAAGAGGCTTCCTCTTTAGAATAATGATCGAACAGGCTTGCTGGGCATCTCACGGGGCAAGGGTTGAGCTTTTCAGTGCTGGTGGCTCAGAGGGATTGCAGCTGTGCGATCTGGAGGGAGCACCCGTGTCCTGTGGTGGACAGTGGCGGCGTGAGCACTCACACCCTTCTACCAAACCGCGTGTGAAATGGAATCCGAATGAGCAGCTCTGTAAATGCTGTCAGGCTGCCATTGCCCGTTAAGCCTGCTCTCTTGGTGCCTGTTGCCACAATAAGCTTTGAGAAGGGACAGCAGAGTCACCCTGGCCCTGCCACATGGGCACTGATCGCCACTGGACTCTCCTTCCCAACTTCACTTCCCTCCCTTATGTGCCTTACCCCTACCCCATGGCACTGTCAGGGTGGGAAGGGATAGGACACCTGGGACCATCCAAACCAGGCCACATTTAGAGCTAGCTCCGTGAGAGCCACCCCTCCTCAGAGTGTGCTGTCATGTTAACCCTGTCCACTTCCCTCTTTGAGACATCCCTACTCTCTGGAGTTAGCAATGACAGTTCAGTTGCACCCACAGAAGCCAGAGTTTGTGGGCAGTGAGTGACCCGTCCTCTGCTTGACTCACCCCATGTGAGCGGGCCATTTGAATATCAGCATCCTGAGTATTCATAGCTCTGGTGAGCGTGGCAGGAGGTCCCAGCAGTTCCATAAAGATAACCAATGCAGCTGGTTTCCCTTTATTTATTTATTTTTCCTGCAGGCTTTTTCATGAGTGGTGGTGGTACTTGTTCTTCAAAAGCAAACCTTGTAGGCTCTCCCCCCTTCTTACTTTGACCTTGGTTTCTGAGAACTGCTCTGCTTTGGTGAGCATGTCCTAAAGTGCCTGCCTCTCAGGCAGTTCATTTGGGCCATTGTGCGTTTCCCCCATTGCTGTAAATAGTTCATCTGCACTGCTCCCTAATGACATTTTATATTTCCCCCCCTGTAAGCAACTGAGGTAGAAAAATAAATTGTTTACCACAGACATGCTGTGGTGCCGCCGTCTCAGCCTGAGAGTGTCCTGTTCTCGCTCCAGGGGAGGTGAATGTGCTAGATAACCAGCACGGGTGACAGCCAAGTTCACTTTGTAGAAGCGTGCCAGCATCCCCCTGGCTGCCGCCTGGCCCCAGCTCTCCCCTCTTCCTCAGCAGAGAGCCCTGCGCTTTTGCTGGAGGTGATCTGCCCTTGAACAGAGACAGAGAGAGCATCTGCTCACTCCAGCTGTGGGAGAGAGCCCCGCCCCTCCCTGCGAAGGCAATCCCTCCTACCAGTGAGGACCGCTGTGCTCAGGTGTGGGTCTGCGGAGTCGTGCATGTTCTTGTGCACACAGCACACGCTCACTTTCCTAACCCCCAGAGCACAGGGGAGATCAAAAGGGA